AAGGCAGCTGGTGCTGCAAGGGCCAAGGCAACTGGGACTGTGAAGGCCTATTCTTGCACAAATTTCATGCATCGGGCCTCTATATATATATCTAAGCCTAAGTGACCAAACAACCTAATGACCAAATGACTGGTCAACCGGTTGCTATGACATGCACTGATCACCTGGGGGCGGATGCTCAATGCAGGAGCTGCCCTCTGGTGGTCAGTGTGTTCCCACAGTTGAGAAATCTAGTTGAGAACCACTAGAGTCTATGCCAGTGGTCGGCAAACTGCAGCTCATGAGCCACATGTGGCTCTTTGGCCCCTTGAGTGTGGCTCTTCCTAAGCCTTAGGAGTACCCATTTAGTGGGGTCTATTGTTATTTTGATTATGGTTTCTTTTGCCATGCAGAAGCTTCTTATTTTCATGTAGTCCCATTTGTTTATTTTCTCCTCAGTTTCCATTGTCCTAGGAGATATATTGGTAAACACGTTGCTATGAGAGATGACTGAGATTTTGGTGCCTATGGTTTCTTCTAAAACTTTTATGGTTTCACGACTTACAGTTAAGTCTTCTATCCATTTTGAGTTTATTCTTGTGTGTGGTGCAAGTTGGTGGTCTAGCTAAAGTTCCTTCTGCTTTAGAATCACACCCTGGAACCCCTTATTTGGGAGACAAGTTGGCTTGTAGATAGTCTGTCCTCCACATTTAAAAGGGATGTATAGCTTTGCAGAGGTAAAGTAGAGGTTCAGAAATGTTTCTAGTATCCCTCCTTCATTACAGCCTCATTCATAGCACCCCAGGGTCTACAGAGACAATATAAAGAAACAATTTGGTAAGTCTCTCCTACAACTCTTCTTTTTCTTGGGATAGCAACTCATCAACATTATGCTTTCCTAAAGTGAAAGAAAAACTCCAACATAGGAAAAAGAAATATTCTAAGGAAAGCAATAACTTTAATATATTCTCTCACCTAAGGCTATACCTACATCTAAAGCCAATTTATACATTGAAATATTTTGAAAATTTTAATGAAATTTAGTTGCTTCTTCTAACATGAAAGTAGATATAGTGGTTTATCAATTTGTTCAATACTTACTTAAGAGGGAACCAAATTAAAAATGCCTCTATAAACTGGAGAAGATACATCATATTCCAAAACAGAGTGCTTCATTTGACCTTTGTCAGAAATCAATTGAAAAAGAGTGTCTCTGTGTGTGTGTGTGTGTGTGTGTACACTGAGAAGATGGGTTGGGATGGTAAGGCATGAAACTGAGAAGATAAACACCTGTCAGATTATGCAGGACCCCTAAGGCACAATAAGAAAAACAGTGAAGTCTCCTAGGCAAGGTGTGCATTTTAGAAAGGTCACTTTGGCTGCAATATGGACTGATTCATTTCTGTTCCCTTGAAAGCCATTCATTCATTCTTCAATGTCTTTTTTTTAATCATAACCCAGTAAGACAGTAATTCATAGTTTAAATGAATTTAAGTCCCTGAACTTAAAGATATTATTATACAATGGAAGGCTGCTGAGAACAGTGCCGGCATTAAATCAGCACGAATTGCTACAGACCTAACTTACACAGGTAACTAGGGTGTGGTCTCAGTAAAATGCTGAATTTGCCTCCTCCACGTCTGCTCCTTCTGTGGGTGCCTTCCCTCATCCTACGGGCTGCGGCTGCTCCGTACATTTGCCCTTCCTGTGCTGTTTAGGGCAGGGTCACCAAGCGTTCTCTGTAGCAGGCTAGATAGGAAATAATTTAGGCTTTGGGGGCATAATGTATCTGTCCATTGTGGTTTAGGAAATAAAAGTAAAAATATCAAAAAAAATCACTTTGAAGAGGTTGAAAGAAGCTGAGGGAAAGGGGGTGACAGCATCTGCAAGGCTGGGGAGAACCCACATTAAAAAGAAATGTGGCCTTTGACCGGCTGCCTGGTTTGACCAGTCGGGAACCAGCAGGTGGCAGCAGAGAGCTATCCTACAGGAAGCGGCTCCTAGGACAAAGGATGCTGAAAAGCAGTCTGAACAGTGAGTGCTGTGTCCAGAAACTCACGTTCAAGAGAAAGGGGGAATGAACACTACATATGAATAGATTAAGGGCACAATTGAGGCAGTCGCATCATTTGTGTTTCAGGGACTGAAGGGCACTAAGAGAAAACTCATATTATTATCTAAGCTCCGAGACCAGGAAGAGAGAGAAAGAGATCTTAAAATTCAGAGTTAAATTCATAAAACAAAATTGGGAATTTGTGCAAAAAATAGCTGAGGGCCAGACTGGCCTAGTGGGGCTGGCAGCTCTGGCTGGGCAATGGTAGGGCCTGTTTTGGTGGCCATAACCCGAACAGAGGGTCCAAGTGGCAGCCCAACCAGGTTCTAAAAATAAACACATTATTTTGTCTTTACTTATAATTTTTAAATCTTCACCTGAGGATATCTTTCCACTGATCTATAGAGAGAGTGGAAGGGAGAGGGACACACACACACACACACACACAGAAACATTGATATGAGAGAGACACATCAATTGGTTGCCTCCTGCATGTACCTAGACCAGGCCTGAGCACCTGCAACCCAGGTATGTGCCCTTGACTAGACTCGAACACAGGACCCTTCAATCTGCAGGCTAACACTCTATCCACTGAGCAAAACTAGCTAAGGCTCTTTATTTTTTTAAAGGAAGGTTTTATGTGTATTTTGTAAAAACATGTTAAAATTACTAAACATAAATTAAAATGACTTGGATCCCTAAACCCAGAGATATGTATTATGCCTTTTTAGCATATTCCCTTTTAGGTCTAGGGGTTAAAGTTTTTATCTTTGGTGAGGTCAGCCTAGCAAGATCTTCTCAGCCACTAAAAATAGCAGAAGTCCCATTAACTTTTTAAATTTCAAAATTGAATAAATTTATAATTTATTCTCATACTCATATTTAACTACTATTCTATTACTGAGAAATGTGTGTAGTTAAATTTTCCCACCATATGCTAACTCTATTCATGCTTTCCATAAACACTGAGTACCTACATTCTAAAGACATAACACATTTGTCTTTTTCTAGCACTAAAAATAACCCTTTAACATCTAAACAATCTTAAAAGACTAGAAAAATCATACAATGTCTGCTGTCAGACCATAATAGAATTAAACTAGAAATCAATAACACAAAGATACTGGAAAATCCCCAAATCTGTGAAACTAAATAACATATGTCTAAGTAACACATGTTCAAGTAATAAATCTCAAAATGTATGTATTTAGCCTGGCTGGAGTGGCTCCATGATTGAGCACTGACCCATGAACCAGGAGGTCATGGTTTGATTCCCCATGGGGGCACATGCCTGGGTTTCAGGCTTGATCCCCAATGTGGGGCATGCAGGAGGCAGCTGATCAATGATTCTTTCTCATCATTGATGTTTCTATCGCTCACTCCTTCTCCCTTCCTCTCTGAAATCAATAAAAATATATAAAAATATATATTTTAAAAATGCATGTGTTTATTGATTTAACTTAGTTCTAGTTTTATTATTTTAACCTGGAACAGAGAGGCCTGATGGTGTACTTTTCCACAAAAATTCCAGTATGTTCAAACAAAACACCTTCCAAATCCCTGCCGCTGGCCGAGCAGCCTTCTTCTGAAGTGTGAAGAAGTATTTAATATCTAATGAGAGCTTTCAACATTTGTTACACTAGCACAGTCTTCATACAGAGCTGGACGATTTTCTGTTCATCCCATCCATAACATAACTGAATACCTATTACACTTTTATTGATTTATCTCCCATCATTATTGGCTAATTTTACCCTGGCTGTTGGCTAATCTTGTCTTTTCTGAATAGTTCAGTTATTGGAATTGAAAGTATTTAAAAATAGGAGCAAGTCATCTTTAACATCTGGAAAATTCCAGAAACTTCTAGGTATCTTGATTGTTCCGAGTTCCTTCTAGTCTAGGACGGCCTGAAAATTACTGGGCACTTTACAGATGCATTACTTTGAGAAACAAAACTGGGAAACGCCTCCCCTGAGGCTTCAGCAGGTTACTTTTCAGAGCTCGCTTACAGGCACTACTGCTCTAAGTAATTTCTAAAAGAGACGAATTTAAGGACTAATTTCAGGCCAGGATCAACAAATACACAAAGTTGTTTACAAGAAAAAAAAAAAGTCCAGACTCAGAAAATTATACAGATTTTCATTAATTAGTCATGAAAAACAGTAAGTAGGGCCATTGCAAAGGCAGAAACCACAAACTTGAATTGCTACACACCTGAATTATCTAAGGACTACCTAGAAATTTATTTTCAATGCATTATCACCCTGACACAGATACACCTGTGTACATCATAGTAATTGACTGTCCTATATATTTAGCTCAGAGGTGAGCAGTAGTTGGCGATGGGAAACATTTCCCACAGGGAGTAATTCCTTTCTGTTGCTTCCTTCTAGTTACCTCTCAGCTACCATGGGGCAGCAGAAGAACAATTGTGCTTGAATAACGCCAGGGGACACTGTGCTCTGGGTTGACAAAACGAGCACAGGGGGATCGCACCACATCTGCACTCTGTCTACAAAGTATATTGTATGCCAACACAGAAACTTAGAAAAAATAACCACTTCATGCAGCAGCTTTCTCAGTGAGAGTCTCAGGTTACTGAAGCAATCTTTCTGAAGAATTAAAGGTAGGTTGCAACAGTAATGGGAAAATATCTGAATGAAGGGTTTCCTATCAATTGAAAAAAAATTAAAACACATGTTTAAGTGACTAAATAAAAGGCTGATGTCTTTACTGATATCCTCAATAAAAATGCTAATTGATGGCCATAAAGAAACACACAGCAATGGAAAACTCAAGGAAATTATAAACATCAACAGTATTATAACACATGCTAAAGCATATATATGTGTGTGTGTGCACGCATGCGCATATATAAAATCATATGACTTGTAACTTTTTTAAAAATATATTTTATTGATTTTTTCCAGAGAGAGAGGGAGAGGGATAGTTAGAAACATCAATGAGAGAGAAACATCAATTCAGCTGCCTCTTGCACACCCCCCACTGGGGATGTGCCCGCAACGCTGGTACATGCCCTTGACCGGAATCGAACCTGGGACCCTTCAGTCCACAGGCCAACACTTTATCCACTGAGCCAGACCGGTCAGGCCTTATAATTTTAAAATAATTTTGAGGTTGATTTTTACTATACATAGTTTTTATCATACTAATTTTAGAACATATAAGAGATGACAAACCCAATGAAAACCCATGAGAAGGGACAAAGGCCTGACCCCTCGAGTCAGCTCAACAGCTGGACACCACGTGGGAGCAGAGCCCCAGGCCCTCGGTGCGGGGACAGCCACGTGTCCTAAAGTCAGAGAGCAACAGCCTTGGGCATAGAACATGGGTTCTCTGTTTTAAGACAACTGCATGATCGTAAGTCTGCAATAAGAAAATAGCCAAAGAAGAAAGCAGATGGGGATGGCGAGTGAAGGACAGAGCGGCCTGTCAGAGGAGTCCCTGCGTGTGCTGAAGCGGAGCTGACGTGGCCAGGCCCTGTGACGAATGCCGGGGATGCCTGGTCATCATGCCTCCAGTTCGGATGGATCTGAGGCCTGGGGGCGGTGGCTTCTGCACATGGCGGTCTACGAGCCATGTGCTGCTCTGGAACCCAACAGCCTGTGGTCCTGATGCAGGTATGCCCTTTATTTACGTTGCGAAGGGTGCAAGGGCCCCTCCTAGCATCCCTCCTGCCTAGTGTAGCAGGAATATTTGAGATTAGACATGTAGCTGGCGGCTGGCCAGGCACCTCTCTCCTGGTGATGCAGGTCGTGTGAGGTCGGTAAGAGCAAAAAGCAGACCCAGCGTTGGCTAGCTGCATGCAGCCCCTTTCCCTTCTGTTCAGGTTGGGCGTCTGTGCAGAAGGGATGTTTCTTCTGGTTTATCAAGTGTAGTTGTTGGGTTTTTTTTAAAGACTACTGTAGGCGAAATTAAAATCTAATTATCAATACTAAATCACTAAATGAAGTCCAGGCGTATCACTATTTTTCACAACTAAGAAAAACACAGACATACAAACCTGAAATTTTCTTCTCACTTCTGCTATTTTCTCTTCTAACTCTTCGGTTTTATATCTGGTCATGTGGAAAACAGCACCAATTTGATAAGCATCCTTGTATAGTCCTCTAAGATACTCCTCATTTTTTAACTTCATTATCATCAAACTTCGGATGTCAGACTCAAACTCTGATTTTTTCCTTATACTGGAAAAAATAAATTTAAGATAGTGGCATGATTATTTTCAAAGAGTATATGCTGAGGGAACTACATTTTTAAAAGGTTGTTCCTTCTTTGTCTCCAAAAATACAAAGTAACCAAATAATTAACTAAAATGTGGGCACAGGAAATATTTCCAACAATTCCATTGATTTTTTTCTGCTTCTGTTGGACACCCCTAATTGCCAGGCTGTGCTCGATTTCAGAAGGATCAGCGTGTCGATCAGAAAGCCCTGGGGCCCAGACGCTCAGCTTTCTGCACGTGCACTCCCTGTGTCAATCCGCCTTTACCACCTGTATCACAATACTAAGGCCAATCACATAGGAGAAAGATAAAGCCCATGTGAAAGAGAAAGAAAACCCAACTCAGGGAAACCAGTAACTTAAACAGAACTCTCAGGACGAAAAGCAACAGCTAAGGGGGGAGAGTTAATAGAGGAAAAATGGAAGACATGAATATCCGTGTTAAGATTTTCATAGAGAAATACCAGTCTCTTAGGAAAATTAACAAGTTATATTTCCTGTCCAGATTGGGTACCGTCTTTGTTCCAAGTATATACTCTGACACACTGAATATAAAAGCAAATACACATAACACAGAACAGGAACGGAACTTGAAAGCAAAGCAGGAGTGGAGGGAAGGGGCCTAAGGCATTCCAGTCGATGCTGACTCCAGCGAGGTTCGCTGTGCCGCATCGTAGGAGGTTCCTGTGGATTGTCCTTTTTGGGAAAGAACCAATGAAGTGACGGGAGCTATCCTATGTAATAAAGACCTAATATGCAAATCGACCGAACAGTGGAATGACCAGTCACTATGATGTGCACTGACCACCAGGGGGCAGATGCTCAATGCAGGAGCTGTCCCCAGCCTGCAGGCACCAGGCCAGCCAAGGCGGATGCCAGCAGAGGGGGCCCTGATCGCCCTGCGGGTCACCCCACACATGGGCCCTGATCGCCAGCCAGACCTAGGGACCCTATCCATGCAGGGTAGGTTTATAAAAGCTAGGAGTTGGGGCACTGGAAAGCAAAGATCCCGAATCAAAAACTCAACCAATGAGCAAAAAATGTAAGTTCTATTCAGCAGCAAATGGACTGCAGTGCTAATGAGCGTCCCCATGAGTGTTTTCACATGGACATGAGTTTTGATAAAGCTTGCAGAAATAAAATATTTTAACCAAAACTTAAGACCATTGTTTTTTTCTAATATAACATATCCTTTGTCAAGTGTCATCGAAATGGCTGCAGGCATTCTGTATGCATAACCTTGCATTCTTTTCTCAGAGAGACTTCTCTGTGGCCCCAAACCCAGGATCCACCCAGGTGAGGCTCATTAGCACGCTGTGTTACGTTAGCCTCATGCAGCCCTTACGACCTTGGTGTAGTTCAATGCTAGGTCTTTTCAAGCCACTGAAACAAGGTGTAGAAGGCTATTTAAGCGAGTGCTTATTTTGATGAAATATAGCTAGTCCCTGTGAGAAAGTAAGGAAGAACAAGAAAGCAGGGCACAGAAACGCAGTAGTGATGACAGAATGTTCAATAGGTGTCCGGGTGACAGTACTTGCACAGCAAGGGAGCAGGAAGGAGAGGTGTTGGTTGCCAGAGTGGACTCTTAGGCCGACATCAGAAGAGTCTCCCTACTGGAAAAGAGATGCAAGACGGAACTCTCAGAGAGGGTGGCTGGTGTGAGACGGAAGAAGAGACGGACGGGCATACGGAGGCCTAAGCTGAGAGCCGGAATTCTTGCAGGCCCTGAACACAGACCAAATCCAGGCTCTGACTGCCTCTGCGGAGGGAGAGGATCGATCATAATGGGAAGCGTGATTTATCTGTACTATTTTACTTCCTTACAAAAAGCATAAAGTAAGCTAACATATTGGTGAGGCGTCCATTGTGAATGGTTCCTATACCCTTTTCTCTTTTAATACCTGAAAAGTTAAAAAGTAAAATAAAAGCAAAATAACAACACTATTTGTGCAACAGTTTGCTGTTAAATGCTGAAAAGAAATCATATTCTACACTCGTATGAAGTAACTCAGATCACGAGGCTGGTGAGATATAGCTAAGCGAGTATGACAAGCACGGTACCCTGTGGATTCATTCTAACCATTCCAGGCTGTTTAACAACTTCAATAACATTTTAATTGTTATCTGTATGAATCGATCACCACCCTGTTAACTCTTGATAAACACATTTCCTAGCTGATACCAGGAGGCCTTTATGGTGTTCAATAGCTCCTTTGCTGGTTTCCCTCGATTATCAACCTCATCTTTGGATCGCTGCTGTTACAATGGCATCGTCTTGCCTGAGGTACAGAAAAGCCTTAGGAATAGATATTCGGAATATTTTACACAGCTTGAATATAAGAAAATGGCTATACAGAAATCCATACCACACAGTTAACTTCAAACAAATAAAATCCAAATTAACCAATTTCAAACCTTCTCAAACAAGTTCAATTTTCCTTGACGTAGGCTGCTGAAGCTTGCCTATCCTGTGAATAAGCAATCAAGTGAAATTGTTGGCTCAAGTCAAATGTCCCAAATTTAAGAGTCTTATTTCTGATGGATGCTGGCTTATTTGAAAGACAAAATTATCAAATTATACACTGCTACTCCAAGGCAAACGACTATATCCCATCACTACCACCTAGAGGTCTGGCAAGAATGCGTATGCACAGAGTACTGAACAGAGTTGGTTAACAAATACTCCCTCTGTCTTTTAATGTTGCCATTTTAAAGATAAACTATATATGAACAATTGATCATATACTGATTATGTAACTGATTTAAATAGCATCAAATGATGAGATGGTATTTAGTGGAATCTTAGTATATATAACAGCCCAAAATTTCCTGGGGTATTCGCTAGATGTATGAATGTCAGTGACTTGTTTTAAATTTTTTCTAAATATTTTTAAACTTCATTTTTAAAAAGAACCTGGGGCTAAAGGGAAGGCGATTCAAGTAAATGGTAGACTAACAATGGAAAAATGAAGGACGTGGTAAGAAGATCAAGAGCTCCTTTGGGGAAAGCTATAGCTATAGTCAAATATAAGGATGGAAAATTGAATAAAACAATGAGCTTCTGACATTTTTTCAAGTAGTTAGTAAATGTCATGTCCACAGGCTGCTGTAACATGTCAGAAACAGGTACTGCACCCTGGCCTGTGTGGCTTGTTGACGTGTCATCCAGTACATCAGTAAGTCAATGGTTCGATTCTCGGATAGGGCATATATATCTAGGTTTGGGGTTTGATCCCTGGTTGGGGAGCATAAGGGAAGCAATGGATCCATGATGTTTCCCCTCATGTCGATCTCTCTCTCTCTCTCTCTCTCTCTCTCTTTTTCTCTCTCTCCTCTCTCTCTCCCCATCTCCATCTCTCTCTCTCTCTTCCTCCTCTCTCTCTAAAAAAATCAAAAAACATATCCTTGGGTGAGGCTTCAAAATAAAAAAGGAAACAGGAGCTGAGACTTGCCAATGGAGGAGAAGAGGCAGTGTCACTAAGTGAAAAAAAAATTTTTTTGAAGTAACTTATACTGAAATCCCAATTGCTCCTTGTGTAACTGGGGGGATGGTTTCATGTACATTTCCTTATCTGTAAAATTTGCTTAATAACAGCTACCATTTAGGTTGTTATAAAGACTAAATATGAAGCCTTAGCTATTTTGGTTCAGTGGCTAGAGCTTTGGCCTGCGGACTGAAGGGTTCTGGGTTCCATTCCAGTCAAGGGCATATGGTTGGGTTGCAGGCTCGATCCCCAGAAGGGGGAGGCAGCTGATCAATGATTCTCTCTCATCATTGATGTTTCTCTCTCTCTCTCCTTTCCTCTCTGAAATCAATAAATATATATTTTAAAGATTATATATGAAAACAATAATACAGCAAGTCCTCTAATTACATCGTTTTGTTCAACATCATTTCATTATAATGTTGGTGAGATACCATACTTAACTCTGTTTATGTCAATGGCAAAACTGGCTGCCTTATATGTCAATTTGCTGCAGTTCCAAGAATCTATCAACAACAACAACGTTAAGTGAGGACTAAGAATGTATACATCATACTTACATACATTGAATTACACATACAAATGATTTAAGAAAGTCTTGTTAATTAAAAGGTATATACCAGCATGGATCTTTGTTAGTGTTATCTCGTTGAATGAGGTGGAAGACAATGAGAGAAAAAAGACAACTATAACAAAGGTAAGAACCAATTACTATTACCTTGGAGCAGAAAGATATCAGAGGGAGGTGTGACATCAGGACATATAGCAGAGACAACAGGAGATCAGAGATTCTAAAGCAGAGAAAGAAATGAGGATAAGACACATCTATTCTCATCTCTCAAGAGTTCATTATGTCATTATTTAGCACCTAGTGAGTAAAACAGACACACACGCCTGCAAACAGGAGCTCAACTGCGAGGAAGCTACGAATAAGCAAACCAGCCCTAGCCGGTTTGGCCCAGTGGATAGAGCGTCAGACCACGGACTGAAGGGTCCTGAGTTCTATTCTTGCCAAGGGCACGTAGCTTGGTTGCAGGCTCAATCCCTGGCCCTGGTTGGGGCATTTGTGTCTCCCTCACTCCGATGTTTCTCTCTTTGTGTCTCTCCCCGTCCCTTCCATTTTCTCCAGAAATCAGTGGAAAAAATATCCTCAGGTGAGGATTACTAAATAAAATAAATAAATAAATAGGCAAACCAATAGTAACTGTGCATAATGTGATCAGTGCTAGGAGAGAAGTTTATGGAACTAGAGAGGGTTAAACAGAGACTGTTGAGCATTGATTACATGTCAAGTGCTACACTAGGTGGTTGGGATACAAAGAAGAATTAAAACACAGGTTCTCGGTTTATGTTCTCATGAAGGAAAAAGAAGTGGATGTAGCAGAAGAAGCACTTACTGCCACCGTAGCTTATCCACAGGGAAGCATCTGGGAAGAGTTGGTTTCTGATTTATTGTATGAGTAATCAGTGAATCCTAT